ATTAAATATTAAAATTTAAATTAAATTAAATCATTAAAATATTAAATATTAAATATTTTCAATTTCGTTTTTTTCGCGAACGCTTGAGAAGCGCTTACCCGTTTAGTTAAAGATACTTGACAATATCTATCGATACTATAAGTTTTATAGAAATCGATTGGTACAACGTCGTGCCCTCCTCTTGTGAGATGAAAATAATTAATATCAAAAATCAGTAAACTGTGCGAAATTTTATTTTTTCTTGAATAAACCTGTTAAAATTTGTTCATTTGAGACGTCATTTTTTTTGTCAAAAATGCTTAAGAAAGTTTTTAAGTAATATTATAAATAATATCATAATAAAATAATATCATAAAAACAAAAGAAACGTAAAAAATAAAAAAAATAAAGTTATATGAAAAAATAAATATAAAAATAAATTCAAAAATGTTATTTTTTAAATAACTCGAGGAATTTAAAAGTACCGCATTGTAATGTTATTATTTCCATTTATACATATACAGACTCACATTTGATTAAGCAATCTCTTTAGACATTACAAAATACGTTATTAAAAAACGCTTACAATATTGTAAAGATGTTAAGACAGTTTCAAACAAAGAAAATGTTCATGTTTATAATTTAACGCAATTTCCCTCGCAGCATTAGAGCTGTATATAGAAAATTATTATTTAAGCATTTATTTCAACAGTATTCCCAAGTAGCAAGGTGACGTTAAATGACGTTAAATGACGTTTTAATAACGTCTTATTGATGTTGAAGACGTCTTTAAGACGTTATTACAACGTCTTTTCACCTTGCTACTTGGGTTATTGTTCATTTACATCTTTTATTGTCATATTAATGTACTTTGTCATTGCTAATACTGGCTCTATTATAAATACAAATACAGTACTATTTTCATGGCAATATGCAATACTAACTCATTGTTTATATTTATTAATATTGTAGCCTATATGTAACCCTATATGTAAATATGCGACACTAACTTGTTGTTTATATTTATTGATATTGTAGCCTATATATAAATAGTAGCAAATTTTTAAAGAATGCTGATTTAGTAAAAAATTCGATGATACAAAAATATGTTTAATATTGTAAATAAAATAATCATACTTAGTCAAACCTAGTTTCCAAGACATGACTAATATGGTTTTGATGACAATATCCACTGGTACCAAATTTTCATTAACGGCTTTATTCATATAGCTTACTCGTATTATTCCTTTTACGCCAGCAACGAACATTCCCACTGGACCATAAATATTATCTATCCATCCTGCGATTGGTTCTTCGAGTGATGCAAAGACTAAAATATATTTGTAGACTATTATTTTTAGATTATTATTTAGAAATACTTTTAGAAATAATATGAAGCTATTTCTTGTCCATTTATTATCAACCAAAATAAGAAACGTTGTAAAATTTTATAATACCCTATAGTAAAACATTAATCATAGAGAAGTTTCAAGTTGAGGTGACAATTGTTATTAGAGTTGGAAAGGGGTGGCGGGTGAATCAAAATTTATTGCACTAATCGACGTTCTAAAAGTTTCCTGCAAAAAAAGTGTGCTTTCCCGTAGATTTTGGAGCACTGAAAATTATGCTGCCCTCAGAATTTGTCTATATGTCACATTTAAAA